TTTCGCTCTCTCTCCCCCTCTTTGACTCTCCCGCGCTCTCCCCCTCCACTCTTTCTCCCCCTCCCATTCCCCCCTTCCGACGACAAAGGAAGGGTCCTCCCTCTGATGAAGCCGCACGTGGCATGCGGCAGAAAGGCCTCAGGGAAGTGCCACTCCCTCCTGTGGATCTGCGTGCTGGTCCTCTCGCCTTGAGCGGTAACAGGATCTTTTAGCTGCATGGTGCAGGATATCTCTCTCTCTTTCTTTCTCTCTCCCCATTCCCTCTCTCCCGCTCGCCTCACCAACCCCCCTGCTGTTCGTCGGCTTGAGATTCAACTGGAGTATAATTGATAATTTCGACGCTCCGAGAAGATTTTTTTGTAAACAGCTCTCTATTTCTGTATGGATCAAATGTTTTCCAACGCCTGGCGTGATTGTTTTGCGGCAGATTTGGATCATCTTTTCTATACATTGGATGCAATGGGATTCATATTATGTTCTGCGAAATGAGTTCGTAAGCGTATAACCCAGGGTCTGGGGATTTACGAGCGATGTAGCAAGCAGTTATCCACTTAACTCGCCCAACAGGTGATGGATGATTCCTTGCTGCATGGCACCCGGAACCTGTGGGAATCTGTTTTTTTTCGGACTTCGCAATAAGCATCTGGATGTCTACATTACCACCTTGTATAACCAAGGAGGGTGGCCATTTTTTACGCTGCTTCTTGTGCGACTGGATATCTTACTGTAATGTACAGCCTCGTAGATCAATGATTCTCCAAGCGCTTGGTGTGATTGGTTTGTGACAGGCTTGGATGATCTCTTGTTTTAATGCACATGAAGTGTATTCGTATTCTTTCTACATTTTGAAGTTTATGGGCATGTAACCCGGACCCCGTGGGTTTGCCAGCGATGTAGCAGGCAGTGATCCGCTTAACTCCCCCAGTAGGTGGTGGGTGATTCCTTGCGACATTGCATCCGGAGCCGGTGCGAATATGGATTTGTATGTACGATCTGAACTTCGCAATACGAGCGTCTGAATGTCTACGTGTATAGCCTCGTACGATGGCTATTTTCTACGCTACTTCCTGTGCGATAGGATATCTTGAGTTTTTTCGATTCGCAAAAAAGTATTTTTTGCCCAAGATCCAGGACCTTATGATGCGAAGTGGCAAGGAATCCTCTTGCCATACCTAATGAGTAGGGTTGATTCTTTGCTACCCTGCATAGGGATCCTGGTGAGTTTTGGAATAATTGTGCATGATCTAAACACTATGAACGCGCAGCAGGCATCTGGCTTATATCCCATCCCTTTTTGTGTGGTTTCATGAGATTCCTGCACCCTCGTCACTAACTGTTTTTTAGGTAAAGATTAAAGGTACCTAGATGGGCATATATTTTTTGGATTGGGTTAGTGAAACGGTATTCACCAATTCGTGGTAGCTGAGGTAGATCTCAGGGCTTGATCCCTAGTTCCCCAACTTACCTGTGTACAATACCTGCGTCAACTCGAAGAGTTGAACCTGCGA